ACTCAATGTATGGGAAACACTGTAGTCTCATAATTGAAGTGTAAATTCTGCAGATTACATCATTGTCCAGTAATGTACTGTCAGCAATTTATTATAAAAACGTTTTCATAACTGTAACATACATATTTACCTACATAATTATTCAGGTGCATGTGTAATAACTTGCGAAAACTTGACGCTACAGCAGCACTTCTTCTTCATCGTCTCGTCTTAAAATTCAAAAAGTGAAAAAGCATAATAGGACCCCTTTAATGCTTCCTATTAGAGTTGTCCAATATTCCAAATTATTGCAATTTAATCTCATGATGAATGTGCGTTCCAAAACTCAAGAAATATAATTGCATGCACAATATGCCTTTCTTCAGTGGGAATGCTGTGGGGCGTTTGGAGCAGATGACTGGAACCTCAACATCTACTTCAACTGCACAGACAGCAACCCCAGCCGAGAAAAATGTGGCGTGCCCTTCTCCTGTTGCACCAAAGACCCAGCGGTAAGAGATGAATTTTTATGACAACTGAATGAAAGCATGAATGAAAGGTATAGTTCACCCAAACATGTAAATGTGCTAAAAAATGTACAAGCAATCCAAGATGTAGATGAGTTTGTTTCTTCATCAGATTTGGAGAAATGTAGCATTGCATCACTTGCTCACCAATGGATGCTCTGCAGTGAATGGGTGCCGTCAGAATGAGAGTCCAAACAGCTGATAAAAACATCACAATAATCCACAAGTAATCCACACCACTCCAGTCCATCAGTTAATGTCTTGTGAAGTGAAAAGCTGCACTTGTAATAAAAAAATCCATCATTAAAACGGGTTTAACCTAAAACCGTCGCTTCTGGCTAAAATACGAGTCCTCGGTCTATAATATTGCTTTTTCCAGTGAAAAGTTGTCTTGTCTGAATCAGAAGAGAAATACAGTATGCACAGATCAAGCATCGTTTACAAGCAAACACAGTCTAAAATAGTTCTAAACAAAGATGTGAGAGGACAACAGGAGATGGAGGAAGCGTAATAATGGATTATTGATTTGTATTTTGGCCAGAAGCGATCGTGGAGTTTATTACAAACGTGCAGCTTTTCACTTCACAAGACGTTAACTGATGAACTGGAGTGGTGTGGATTATTGTGATGTTTTTATCAGCTGTTTGGACTCTCATTCTGACGGCACCCATTCACTGCAGAGGATCCATTGGTGAGCAAGTGATGCAATGCTACATTTCTCCAAATCTGATGAAGAAACAAACTCATCCTAATCTTGGATGGCCTGAGGGTGAGTAAATATTCAGCAAATTTTCATTTTTGGGTGAACTTATTCTTTTAAGTAATTAAATTTTTATTTGAATATGATGCAATGACAATTTTGCCAGTGAGATACTTGCTGTCTAGCTCCACAGATTTTCTGTTCTTTTCCAAGCACAATTTGTATGCCATTATCTTAATGATTTAAGAGAGACTAAAAGTTTGAGGGGAAACAATACATGACAAAGAGTGAAACAAAATGGGAGTATTAAACAGGATTTGGTCTACGTGAACAGAGTAAAAATAACATTTCACAGAAAGTAAACAAGCACTGCGAGCACAACGTCTACAGCAAAGAGGACGGAAATTATGGCCTATTATGAGCTATAAACTCATAACAAATAAACATCATTAACATTAAATGATTCGATTATGAGCTCTTCTGTGAATGCAGCGATTCATCATTTCAGTGTGAGGGAAACTGCAGACGCTTTCATTTGCTGTAAGTTAGAATAATAAAAGCAGAACAACTAAATAAAGAGTCATTTAAGTTCATAACTGTTTAACTACTATAACTTTACTAAAAGAAAGTGTAAATGAAGAGTCTATTCACATTATATGGAATGTTCAAAATTCAAACTTGTTTAAAAATGTTCAAAACAAGATTTCCAGAAGTGATTTGAAAGAGGAACAACAACTATTCAAGGTGAAATAAGTCATGAAGATTCGAAGGGTGACCGGCACATCCTGTTACTAGTTTGTAAGGAGGAAGACTTCTGAAAATGACGAAGTAACTCCCTCAGAGTTTGCTATTTCCAGCCTTATCTCTTCACTCCCCCCACACTGGAATTCTTCACTGTCAGCATACTTCCTTTAAATTGAAATGTTACGGTTGTCTTCCAATAATTCCACATCAATTATGTGTTTTGCAGGAGGATGTAATCAACACACAATGTGGATATGATGTTCGGGCAAAACCGGTGAGTCTTGCTCTCTTGTGACTTTACACTCCCTCCATCAGTGTTTCCTCTGCCTTCTGCACTTCACCTCTGCGTGCTTCTGAGAGCCAATATATCACCCGCACAACTCTCAAAGTTCAGGGCCGTTTGGCTGACCTATAAAAAAAGGAAGCTGTTATTCATTTCATACACAATGGTAAAGTAATTCAAAATACTCTACATAGGCGTAGTGTAAATATGCATGCATATGAAAGTTATTTTCACAATTTCTTAATAATTCCTAATAATATGATTTATGAACTTTAATAAATTAATAAGTTATCATTTAAGAAGTTAATTTAAAAATAGACTAAAAAGAATGAATGGAAAATTAATAAAGCGTTAGTAAAGGTCATGCTAGATATTTGTATGAAATAAGTGATGCTACAAAGTATGCAAAATGAAGGTAAAAATGTAAAGTTTGAATTGAAATTGATGTGATCTCACACAACAAATATACTGAGGGCATAAACTTTGCAGAAGACAAAGTATGACATGCTATACATCAGACGTTATTTCAACTTGCAACAACAAAATTAACATCCGAAAATGTATTTGTCCCATTTATTCTTAAGTGCAATTTCAGCCTCAGCGAGCATCTTTATCATTTAACATTAACCCTGAGATATTTGCACATGTATCATGCACAGTACCAGTCAAAGGTTTGGACACACATACAGTACTCCTTATTATTATTTACTGTTTTCATAACTGTAATGAAATAACATAAATTGTGTTTTTAACACAAATTTACTGTTTTCAAAGTATGGGTATTGCATAGAGACCAAACATTTAAAAAAATGTAAAATCTTATATTGAAGCTTCTTCATACTTGGATGATTATATATATATATATATATATATTTTTTTTTTAGTGCTGTCAAACGATTAATCGCGACTAATCACATCCAAAATAAAAGTTTTTGTTTACATAAAATATGTGTGTGTAATGTGTATATTTATTATGTATATATACACACACACACATGCATGTATATATTTCAGAAAAATATGTTATGTTTATATATTAAACATATTTACATATAATATAAATTATATGAACATAAATATATACACGCAAATAAATGTATATATTTTCAAAATATATACTGTATGTGTGTGTATTTATATATACATAATGAATCTACAAAGTACACACATATAAGTTGCAAAGAAATGGCACACATTGTGTGATTAATAGTGAAATTCTGAAGTTAAAATAAGCACTGAAAAAGTATATTCTTCTAAAAAATGTAAACAAAACAAATATATAATCCTATAGATTAAGGATCTGTAAAATGACATGGGAAATAAGTATGTGTGTTTAAATTGTAGACTAATCTGTGCATGTGTAGAAAGAGGACAGAGCATTGATCCTGATCTCATGTGTTCATCATTAGGACGCAGAGCAGAAGACATACATTCATGTCAAAGGCTGTGTGCCGCAGTTTGAGAAATGGCTACAGGACAACCTGACGGTAGTGGCTGGGATCTTCATCGGCGTCGCTCTGCTGCAGGTGAGAACGCCTTCATCTGCAATCGCTGGCTGCTTCTGCTATTTGTACTTCATCTTTCTCTCTCTTTTTCCACAGATATTTGGAATATGCCTTGCACAAAATTTAATCAGTGATATTGAAGCTGTGAGAGCCAGCTGGTAAGAACACACACCTGCAAACTCACGACTCTGTTCCTGCTCTACTTTTGCAAACTGCCACGGCAAGCAGCTTTAATCTTTCACCCCAGTGCTTTGATGCCTGTACATCTTCTACTTTTATTCATAATGCACATTAATGGCTCACTGCTTTAAAACTGTTAATGACTCGGCGTGTTTCCGGAGTCTTAAAAAACCTCAAAACAACCTTTCCTAGTTTGCCGTGTTTGCTTTGAGAAGTGCCACCATGTGGACAAAACAGGAAATAGATGAAGATGATGTTTGATCGAAACTCTCTCAACTGTCAGTGTCAGATCACTTAAACAGAAAATTACTGTTAAAATACATAAAATTAAGATTCATTATAATACCGGCCTGCATCATATTTGCTGAATGAAATCCAATACTTTCTTACTAATCTGGGGTGCTGATTTATACAAAATAACATGTTATTTTAAAACTGACATTTTTGAAATGTGACTTTTGTTATCTTGATAAGTGCATTAAAGCAATAGTTCACCCAAAAATGAAAATTTGCTTAATATTTACTCACCATCAAGCCATCTGAGATTAGGATGAGTGTGTTTCTTCATCTGAACAGATTTAGAAATGCAGCATTGCATCAATTGCTCACCAATGGATCCTCTGCAGTGAATGGGTGCCGTCAGAACGAGAGTCCAAACAGCTGATAAAAACATCACAATAATCCACAAGCAATCCAATCCATCAGTTAATGTCATGTGATGCAAACATTATTATTATTTATTATGCAAAAAGTTGCATGTTTGTAAGAAACAAATCCATCATTAAGACATTTTAAGCTTCTATCCATAATACTGCTTTCTTCAGTGAAAAAGTTTTGTCTGAATCAGGAGAGAAATCTGCACAGATCAAGCACCGTTTAAGTCAAAACTGTTTCTAAACGAATATGTGGGTGGATTTTGATGTGAGAGGACAACAGCAGATGGATGAAGTGTTATTATGGACTATAGACTCGTATTTTGGCCAGAAGCGATGGTTTAAAGTTAAAATGCCTGGATGGATTTGTTTCTTACAAACACACAGCTTTTCGTTTTACAAGATGTTAATTGATGGCCTGGAGTGGTGTGGATTACTTGTGTTTTTATCAGCTGTTTGGTCTCTCATTCTGACGGCACCCATTCACTTTTCCTTTAGGTGATGCACAAATAATTTTTGAGAGAAAACAAAAACATTAGAATTTTTTTTTCAACTCTGCATCATCAAATTAGGTAATATTAGTCCTTTTTATATTAATATTAGAATAATATTAGAGAATTTATTTAAGATGCATGGCTGTGTAACCATTTAGCGTTCACTTTAGGCTAATGTGAATTTACTCCTCGCGATACACACACACACACACTCCACTCACTTTCCTCCATCCTCTCTGTCACATCCACACCGACTCACCTCACACCTTCACTTCTCCTCCCCCATGCCTTCATCAGGGTGCCGCCCCCCTCTTACGTCGCCCGCCGCCCCCCGTCCCACTACAGCAAGAAAGCCTCGGCGTACTCCTGAGGGAGATTGTCCTGGTGGGTGTGAAACGTGCCTGCTTGTGTTGTGTGTGCTCTCTGTGTTCTCCTAGAATCTAGATCATCAGCGCTCTGCTCTTCCTCCACTGAGGGCTAGTCAGTGTTCTCGCAGTTACATGAGTAATCATTCATCAGAGGTCCAGGCATTCACTAACATCAAACCAGTTACACTTTCACATGTTTAACCATCTTCACATCACACCTGGAGGAGATTCTCTGATTGATTGATTTATTTCGAAGGCTCAAGTGCAGTTCACCTTAAGAAAGTTTTTAATACCCTTGAAAAAAAGAGTAGTTATTAGAAAAATATGCTTTAAAATAATATGCATATAAGTGCACTGAATGTGATGTTTTCAGACATTTCATTGCATTTTAATTGAAATTAAATGAAAATGAATTATAGTTTAATTTTATATTAAATGCGATAAGTTGACCGTAGCTGACCATGTTTATATTATGTAAATTAATAATTACTTCCATTTTCTTGGAAATATGGTTAAAGTGTAAAAAAAAAGAAAAGAAAGATGCATTAGTAAGTACATAAATTAGATTGTATTTTACATTATTTATAAAATTGTACATTATTTTTAGTGTACTTATCATATATATGACATCAAATAATGTTTTTTTTTTTTACTTTTTAAATTCAGCTTTTCACATAAATTGTTTTACTGATAATATAATATTTGTAATGAAATATTTTCTATCAAATTATGTGCAAATTCAATAACTACTTTCCTTCTTGGAGTCAGTGTTGTTTTAGTATATCATTGAGATACTATTATAATATTTTTTATTTTATATATATATATATATATATATATATATATGTTTTAGTAATTTAGTTGTGTTTTTGTCATTTTTATTAGTTTTTGATATTTTTATTTCAGTTTTTGTTATTTTAGCACAAGTTACACTAAATGAAAATGAGAAATGTTGCCTTGGCAGCTATGTTTTTATTCATTTATTTACTTATTTTGTATTGTAAGTTACAAAAATAATAATTGTTATGGTTTTAATTTGGTTATGTGTTATAACCCTTTTGGGAGCCCACTGTATATTACAAACAAACAAACTAAAAATTAATTCATTCATTAAAAAATAAATAAAAAATAAAAATTTTAAAGTTAAAATTAAAATAATATTTCATTCATAAGATATACTTTTCTTCAATTCTGTTCTCTCCAACAAATATGTTCTGTGGAATGTGAAACATACTACATCATATATTCTACAAGGTATATTCTAATATGTTTTTAAAGTGAGCAATTGAAGAAGTATTGCATGTTCTTATTGTAAGACCCTTTCATACGGTCTCATTATAACACACATCCTCACGGTTCCAGTCCCACAGAGATCTACTGCAGGAAGAGTGCAGTAAATGGGAATGTGTCACACTCCATGATCCTCGTCATCTTAACCCCGTCCGTTTGCTCCTCAAGATTCTCTCTCCCACTTCTAGTCCCGTTTAGCTCCTCGGACTGTTATAGCTCATTATAACCCTGATCTGCCAGCTGGCCTTGCTGCAACCCTTCCATGCATCCCACATCATTCATGTTCTCTCTAGCTGAAAATCAGTCAGTCACCCTGTAGATTGCAATGCTGATTTCTCCAATGCAAGGCCCCATTTGTCAAGTTGGCACAAAAAATAAAAGCTCTACTTTGGTTTTATTGGAAAAGTCAGTGGAGTAATGCCAACTCTTAATGAGGCCTTACACAGTTGGCTTTAGACGTCTGTTTATGACCCATGTCTTCTTTTTATTTCTTTGTCTTATGCAGTTTGTTCACATGAAGTGGCAGCTAGTCTTGCAGACACTCACAGGTAATTCATACACGCATACACTTCCATAACACACAATCCTTTAAGTCAGCATGAAACAAACGTGAATATGATGGAAGTAAATATTCTGATATAATATTGATTTCATGCTAACTTTAATCCTCTTAAAGGAACAGTTCCCCCAAAAATGCAAACTTGCTAAAGAAATGTACTCACCCTCAGACCATCCAGGATGTAGATGAGTGTGTTTCTTCATCTGAACAGATTTGGAGAAATGTAGCATTGCATCTCTTGCTCACCAGTGGATGCTCTGCAGTGAATGGGTGCCGTCAGAATGAGAGTCCAAACAGCTGATAAAAACATCACAATAATCCACACCACTCCAGTCCATCAGTTAATGTCTTGTGAAGTGAAAAGCTATGTGTTTGTTAGAAACAAATCCATTATTAAGACATTTTTAACTTCGAACTGTTGCTTCTGGCTAAAATACCTCCTCTTATCAATAATATCGCTTTCTACAGAGAAAAGGTCTGAATCAGTAGAGCAGTATGCACAGATCAAGCACTGTTTACAAGTGAAAACAGTTTCAAACAAATATGTGGATAGATTTTAATGTGAGAGGACAACAGGAGATGGACTTTTTCACTGCAGGAACTGTTATTATGGATTATTAACTCTTATTTTAAACATTAAAATGTCTTGATGGATTTGTTTCTCACAAACATGCAACTTTTTGCATCACATGACATTAACTGATGGACTGGAGTGGTGTGGATTATTGTGGTGTTTTTATCAGCTGTTTGGACTCTTATTCTGACGGCACCCATTCACTGCAGAGCATCCATTGCTGAGCAAGTGATGCAATGCTACATTTCTCCAAATCTGTTCTGATCTACATCTTTGATGGTCTGAGAGAGATTACGTTTTCATTTTTTGGTAGAACTATTCCTTTAACACCAACCTAAATAGAAAGATCTGATTGTTGTGAAATAGCTGTGTTGTTCAAACTGTGTTTCTTTCTCTTTGTAAACAGACCTACGCCAGCACGATTAAGGTAGCGAATGATGAACACAAGATGCACTGGGTTGTGTGTGTGTGTGTGTGTGTGTGCGTTTCCACCGTAACCTTTTACCATCTGTAAATAGTGCTACTTTTTCTAGTGTTTTATGTGTCAAAACGTGTGTAATGTGAAAAATGATGTGTCCACAGAGGTTTGCGTTAACCAAAAAATGACCACCATTTGCAGGACTGTAAAAGCATCACTCAAAACACTTTCCATCACTTTGACACAAAATATACCATAATTGAAACCAGGGTCCGGCACGATTGGCTCGCTAGTTCAGTATTCAGGACACTAAAAATCCCCACAATGCACCGTAAAAACCAGTGAACTAATGTTAAATATCACATAAACATATTAATAACAACAAATGAGTTCATTTGGCATAATGACTTTATTTTATTAAGCTAGAGTCAGTGTTAACATCAGGCGTTTATTTTGTTCATCTCTCACTCATCATTGTATTGCATTGCATTATACTGTATGTTTTAAAACTACAGAGCTTTGACATTATATTTTTATGTAAGTATTCTGTTATATTGTTATAAGGATCTCATTGATTTATATCACAAGAACTTCATGTTTCGGTCATACAAATATCAGAAACCGCACCAAATTTAATGTTTAATGCTTTTCTCTCTTTGAATATGAGCTCCATATTCCACTATTTCATACTATGTGATCCTGATGTATCAAATATGATACTCATCAAAAACACATGCTTATTGCATTTCAAAAAATTAGATTTTTTTTTCATATGTCTGGCTTTACAAGGTCAATTATTAAAAATATGAATACCGACCATATTAAGATTATATGATATACATTTAGGCCTAAATAATAATCCAGGAAATGAAAAACATGACCGATAGAAATAGACGATGATGCTGGAAACTTCAGAGTTTGTTGAGTGGGGGGTGATTATTTGTGAGCGTCTGAAGCTCAGTCAGGGAGTTTCTCATTGACGATGTTTTTTAATTATTCTGTTAACACTGGATCATGCACTTCAGCTGTATATTGCATTTCACTCTCAAGTATAAACATCTGAAGCAAATCTTGCAGCTTATGTTCACTAAAACAGTCAGGAAGTCATTCAAACGTTTAATTTAGTCAAATGTTTTTTTGTCCTTGCACTAACAAATTAGAGATCCCAGAACATTTCTTCTGCAGATGTTTCTCTTTCACAAGCAATTTCTGATCAAGAGAACCACGTACCGTGGCAGTATTTTTCTGTATGTATGGACTAATCAGAAGCTTGTTTGTTGTAAATATCCTTGAGTGATATCTTAGCACTTTCACAATGCAAACGCAGTTGGATGGTGTGACACTCTGTAGCACACTACTGTATGTAGCACTCATGGGTAATTGTACATCACTAAAACTGCTTTTAACATGCTTTATGTCTCTTTTTTTCTTTTCAAGGACATTCTGATGTAGCTTTTACAGTTGCAATGCATTTTAAATGTGTTCATGCTTATAAAAAGCAGGGAGAGAGGGTTTGATCTGAAGGTGTGATGATATTAATGTTGGCGGTTATTTAGGCTGTGTCATACACTTACTTGAAGCTCCAGCAATAAGAACAAACATTTTCAATAAATTATTTCTCAGCATTGTAATGGGTTTTCTGTAGAATTAATTTTTCGGTGGTATGTTACCATTTATCCTTAGAAGCATTTAAAAATAGTGAACAGGGAATCCCATTAGCAACAAAAACAGTCAGATGCAGCAGTAAAGACTGCTGTTAATTTCCAGTTAAACTGATACTCGTACTAAAATGACAATTTAATTGAATCTAAACACACACACACACACACACACACACAAGGTACACCTACATTTCAGCAGCTTTGGTAGATCAAAATTAAGACAAAAAAGTTCAAATTAACTAACTAACTAAATAAAATAAGACATAAGTTGCAATAATGAGATTCACAATTAAGTTTGATTTGATTTTGACAGGCATTTTTGTCATATGAAGTTCTCATCATTTAAATGTATTTTGACTTTTAATAATTCAGATTTAATTATGAATTATGATCTCATAATTAAGTAATTATGCCATAATTATGACTTCTCATCCACAATTTAGACAATTGTAACTTGTCATAACTGACAAATTGTCAATTATGACATAAAAAGGCATAATTAAGTCAATTTCATCTTATTATAATTATGGCTTTTTGTCATAATTTTGACTTAAGATCTTATAATTGTTATTTTTTTATCTAAGAATTTTGACATAATAATTTTTGACAATCGTGACGTCACAATGTTAAGTTTTAAATATCAAAACTACGACTATCATAATTTTGTCATAATTATGCATTTTTATGTCATAGCTGTCAATTTCAACTTGTGTTATAATTATGACTTACCTAATTTTGACATCTCATAATTTCCACTTATTGTCTTAAATTTGACTGACATAATTTCAACATTTTGCCACAATATAGTTTTGACTTATGTCACAATTTAGTTATATTAACTCTATTATTATTATTATTATTATTATTATTATATAGTTATATCAACTATATTAACTACGATTTGGTAGGCTACCATATGTCATAATTTCGATTTATCTCATAATTTACTTTTTTTTTTGTTTCCCCCTCATATGTGGTATAAATGGGCTTCCATATTTTACTGTATGCGTGTTTATGCATGCATGTTTTTTATTATTTAAATATACACAACAAAAAGTACCTGCCATTTTATTAGAGCCGGTTTAGAATGTTTCAACATCCTTTTTGACGATGCTATATTTTCATACCCCACAATGCATCACTAGTGCTTCTGCTGATTCAGTCCACTTTGTCAAATAATTTTATTCAACCTAACTATTTATACAATTGAATAAAAGTCCACTGCAGTGCGTCATTAATCTGCTCAGCGAGTGGCTCGCTCAAGTCTTTCCCGTCAACATTTACGTAATAAAGCATTTCCACCTTAACTAATATTAACTTTGACAAGAAGTCAAGGTAGAATCACAGAGCATAAAAATGTGTCACCAGCAATTGTTTTAATAAGTTTAAATCTTTGAAATGTACAGTTCATCAATGACATTTACAACAATTATTTCCGTTTATATTTGTACGGTTCCTACTGTAGATATACTGGATTGCCATGTGGTTCCTCGAGGGTACAAACATGATAAATAAGAACTTATTAACCTGACATAAAATGGCCACATAACAGTGATTTTCACAGTATCGGACATGCAAGGAGGT